TCCAGGACAATAATTATTGTCGATTGATACTAACGCAAAATTTATTTTTCCGTCATAACTGTTAAAACATCTAAACATCTGTGTGAGCAAGATATTGGATATTATCTCAATAAAATATTTTTGTTTGCTTGTTTTTTATTCTAAAAAATTAAATTTCTTTAAAAAATGAGGCTTTCTGTGGTTTTCTGCTTCGGCCTAAGAAAGTGGATCAACTATTCCGACTTTGGCCAAGCTTGCTATTCGGTACATCCCTAATGTATGTTTGTGTATGTCTGTATGTATGTATGTCTGTATGTATGTCTGTATGTATCTCTGTGTGCATTGTATGCACGCACAAACAAGCCAATATTTACATGTGTTCTCATAACGGATCAATGAATTGTTAAAATGTTACCATTCTAAATTTCTTTTATTAATATTATTAATGACATTTTCCAGTTCTCAAAATAAATGAACCAGTATATCGTTGTTACATGGTATTGTTACGATCATTGTTATATATATATATATATATATATATATATATATATATATATATATATATATATGCAAATTTCATTGAAATTGTTTGCCCATTTTGTATTAATTAACTTCTTTATAAGACATTCAACGAGGCGGTATTGTTTGAGTTCATATTTATCTAAAACTGGAATAAAGCTAACAGCGCTGTTTCGGCGTAATGCCATCTTCAGTGCCTAAATATTGTTTAAACATATAATTTAATTAAAATAAATGTCTAATGTGAAAATATAGAAAATAAAATATGTATTAAATTGTGAAATAAATTAATCTTGTTGTAAATATCATAATAACTAAAGTTTATGTAGATTATATAAATAAAATAATGTAATTTAAATAAAATGTTTAGTAAAATAATTAAAAAATAGAAATTTTATAAAAGTTTTAACATGGTTGAAAAAAACAGCTTTGATCACACTTTGCAATTGTTTTCTCAATATCACGATCTCACACCTACTGTTGCCGTTGGGGTTAATCCACAGGATCTGCGTGTACCACAACGATACGAATATCATTCTACGTTGAATACATTTCAACCCATTAACACGCAGTTTGTGACCCAGCGTCATCCGACAACCGTCATTGCGTCGTTGGATGTATTATGTGATACTTAATATTTGATCTATACATCGATATGTATCTTGCATGTACATATATGCATTTATATTTAACTATGTATCCGTAGGTCTGATGTGGAAACTCGTATCACACATATTCAACCGCAATAGTTGTATTCACAACGCATACACAGCAATATTATATATCTGGCGCACATGCCATACGTAATTAGTTTTCACTAACGTTTTTCAACCATGTTAAAACTTTTATAAAATTTCTATATTTTAATTATTTTACTAAACATTTTATTTAAATTACATTATTTTATTTATATAATCTACATAAACTTTAGTTATTATGATATTTACAACAAGGTTAATTTATTTCACAATTTAATACATATTTTATTTTCTATATTTTCACATTTTACATTAGACATTTATTTTAATTAAATTATATGTTTAAACAATATTTAGGCTCTGAAGATGGCATTACGCCGAAACAGCGCTGTTAGCTTTATTCCAGTTTTAGATAAATATGAACTCAAACAATACCGCCTCGTTGAATGTCTTATAAAGAAGTTAATTAATGCAAAATGGGCAAACAATTTCAATAAAATTTGCATTTCTGAAAACCTCGTTTCTATATATATATATATATATATATATATATATATATATATATATATATATATTATGTATATAATGTGTATATACAATATGAATATATATATGCATATACTTGTAATATGTGTGTTTATATAGAATGCTTGTATGTGTGTTTATATAGTGTATATTTATCTTGAAATAATAATAATAAAAGTAATAATAATAATATAAATGTTGTGTAATATTAATAAAAACACATACACCAATATTGATAGTGATTTTTTGGTATTACCTTTAATATAATACGCCATAATATAAATATGTCTGTCTGTTTGTGTGTGTGTGTTTTGTGTCGGTGTGTATGATTGTATATTCAATATAGTATAAGGAGCGTCTAAAGTATGTATGTATGTATGTTTTTATACGTTATATAATTACATATATATATATACATACACACACACAGATAACGTAACGACCGATATTTATATAACTTATAACTTATTATTAATTTTTTGGGATTTTTTAATGTATATATGTTTTTGTAATGTTTTAATACTAATGCAGATATATGTGTGTATATTTAGTTAATTATATATATATATATATATGTGTGTCTATATTTATATATATATATATACCTCATATAGTTTCACTGTACTCAAACGCATATGAAATAGTATATATAATATATATATATATATATATATATATATATATATATATATATATATATATTTATATATCTTGTATGTATGCATTCGTAAGCAAAGCATAACTAATATTTTTCTCCAATAAATCTTTGAAAATGTTGTTTTAATGACTTCGTTTTATTAATTATCTTGTTAGCAACCGTTAATTAATTGATTAATTACTTAATAATTGCTATTATCGTTGATTGTATTATTATTATCAGACGTGTAATCACGTAGTTCGTTAGTTACACTGATGATGATATAGTATTAAAATCAATAATTGTTAACTAAATAATTAATTAATTAATTAATTTAATTGTTTTTTACTGTTATTATTACGTCATAATTGAACCCTCCGTATTTCAAATTAAGGTTATTATGATTAAATAATAAAATTAATTATACTGGATATCGAGCACGTTATGACGAGAGGTATGAAAACTTTTCTTTTTTTTTAAAGTTCGCGTGCGTGTGTGTGTTTATGTGTGTGTATGCGTGTCTGTGTGTGTATGTGTGTTAGGTGAATATGAAGGCGCGTATGAGTGAAGATACTTGTATGGCCTTTATGAGCCATTTCAAAACCCGGATCAGATGGTATATGGTCCCCAACCTATAAAATACTTGTACGAGAAAAAATAATATTTAATTTTCAATAGAACTAATTAATTTTGTTACTAAATGCTGCTGAACCTTATTTACGTGTTACAA